TTCTTAGCAATCATAGCTGTTTTACTCATTTCTTGATTATGTAACAACTTGTAGTCGACCCCTAGGAATTAGCTTATCTTGAATTTCATAATTAATTTTCACCCCTCCCTCCTTGAAAACTTCTACGTCTTGTTACTAACATCTATTAGTTAATTGGTGTTGTGATGACTTTTAATTACTCAATTTCATCCTCCTATACCTACAATTGATTAACTAAAATAACCACTTGATTGATAAAATATTTTGATGTAAAACAAACTGTAGAGCCAGGCGATTATGAGGAACTAATTGAAAGGGAGGCGGCGAGTTGGTCGTCAGTGCAAGGGTGACTTGGAAGAGGTCATGCGAGGAGGAGATGAAAGCATGTGGACAGACCTGGAGCGGGGTAAAAAGTTGTCAGAAAACAGAAGGCAATGGAGGTGCTCGGCTGAAGCCCTATGTTCCTCTAGGAACTGAAGGATACAATAATAATAATAATAGTAATAAAGATTTGATTGACTGGTTACAGGATTTCATCATAAGCTGACATCAGTTAGAGAACTATTGGAAAATCACCAGAGACTACTGGATAGCTGTCTCATTCCAGTTTGTGACTCTTCAGTAGTATGCACTCACTGCAGGAGGTTCGAACCCGGGACCTCCTGGTTACAAGGCGAGTTTGTACACTATTACGCTACTAAGATCCGATCCAGTGGCTAGCCTATGAATTCTAAATTCTATCAATTCACGACAAAGTGCGACAGCTAGGCGATGTTCTCTGCGAGTATTTATCCTGCTGTACCCTACTGGTCACAGCTTCCCACTAGAAATCCAGGTTAAGTTTATGAATAGGGCCAATCGCTAGTGAGCATCAGATTAATTTCCAAGTATTGGTTTTGTAGGGATTGTGTTTGATTGGTTGGAGGGTTTCATCATGAAATGGCATTGGTTAGAGAACCATTGGAAAACCTAGGAAAACTGGACAGCTATTTCATCCTAGGAATAATATTTCTTTGCTCAGTCTGTCAAATTTTTCTAAATGCGTAAATGGAAATTTTGGAGAAAGCGGTAATAAAGAAAAATGTGTGGAAGAATAAATGGTAACATAGAACAACATGACGGTTGAGTAGATATAGAAGACTACAAGGAGTGAATTAATATGCGCTATCCAATGAGAACGATAACTTTAAACCATATAACCAACTGTCTCTCTCCATTCTCCATTGGTTCTTACCGTCCCGAGGACCCCATCTAGTAAGGCAGCCTACTTCACCTCCCCATGTGACTGGCTTAAACTAGCTGTTAGAGATTTCATGAACTGATTCCATGTTTTCATTTGTCCATTTGACTAGCTAACTCTTTTCCAATCTGATCTCATGTCAGCTAGCATTACCCTTTAAGGTACACAACGGCTAGGTATGAGTAACACACGTCCTATCCATTCGTCTCCAATCACTCAACTTCACAACCTCATAGATTCAAATTTCCTCCTTACGTAACACTCTCAATAGTGTTCACCCTATTATATCAAATAATACGGGAGATAGGAGGCAGACATTTCCAATGATCATATCTCACAGTAACAAATAAGAATGGAGCAAACTTTTGAGCAGTCCACATGTCCTTTCATTGATAACTAGATATTGTATCTACACCAGAGATGATGCAAGTTGACAAATGCCATACGAGCCTTCTCTTTCCGTGCTGAGATGTCGTCGGCGATCAACCTGTTGGGGCTGGCTGATGCAACTTCCCAAAGAAGTTAAGTGATAAACACACCCTACCAATTCACTCCTTATCTTCAAGCTGGAGTTAGATGTAATCCCCTTGATTCAACATCATCTTTTCCTAGACAGGAACATATCGGATGCAAAACATTCGAAGATTTCTACTCAGTGTGTTCACAAGACTCTGAATTTTGTCAGTGTCATCAATTCTATAAGGGCAATGTCATCCAAATATTCTAAGTCAACAAGACCGTTCCCTGGTAACAAATTAATCCCTAAATCATTCAGTGAGGCGTTTGGAGTAAACACAGGAGTCAGACAATGGTGCTTACTAACACCAATGATATTCCTAATTGTGGTCGACTGACTGGATTATGCGTCAGACAGTGAGTCTGAAAGGAGAAGACAGGGATATCCTGGACCGACCGACCGACGCGAAGAATCTAGAAGACGTGGATTTCGCGCGTGGATGATTCATGTTTGATGTCACACAAAATCGAAGATTTACAAGCGAAAACCGACAAACTGGTCGAAGAAGCAGCCAGTGAAGACAGGACTCCAGGTGAACATAAACAAAACGAAGGTTATGAAAGTAACCAACCAACAACATCAACAACAACAGCAGCAGCAACATCCAGCACCAATCATCATCAACGGGAGGGATTTGAAAGAGATTACTTCATTCACTTCACTTATCTAGGAAGCATTGTCTCAACTACAGGCAGTCGGAACGGACGACGATGCCAAATAGGAAATCGAATCGGGAAAGCGAGAAACACATTCATCAACCTGAAATCAATCTGGAAATCTTCGTCACTCAGCCGGCATCAACAACAAAATTCAGTCGGATTTCCAATAAAAACAACGTCAAGTCGGTCAGTTCTTCCATGCGGATCAGAAACTTCGCAGGCGTGTCACAAACAATATTTCCAACAGGCTATCCCAGACATTTATCAACAACTGTCTATCTTCGCTGGATCTATACTGAAGATCAAATGGCCGGGCCGGAAAGAATCACCATCAAGAAACTATAGGAACAAACAAAACAAGAACCAATCGCCAACCAACAAATATGCAGGAGAAAGTGGAGATGGATAGATTGGACACTCGTGGCTGAGGAGGCTGCCGCTGGGTGACATAGCGCGTCAAGCCCTCGAGTGGAACCCGGAAGGGAAACGACGAGAGGGAACTCCAAAAGTGACATGGAGGAGATCGTGTGAAGAGGAGTTGAAAGAGTATGTTCTAACATGGATGGATGCAGGTGAAAAGTACAGCAGAAGAGAGAAGCAAGTGGAGACGTGCAGTTGAAGCCCTATGTTCCACTAGGAACCCAAGAAAAAAATAATAATAATAAATCACTGAAGTCAGTTAGGATAGATTCGATCAGCACATCTATGATGAAATTAATAAAAAATGGGGACAGTGAATATCCCTGATGTGACAGACACCACTGGTTGTCGATCACTTGATAAAATGACAACTCTAAGGAAGCTCTTGCACAGCTGCATCAGTTCCAGTAGACTGCATGCCTTGATGAGTGTGATGTATTTTTTCTCAGCAATCCCTTCATGGCCAGATCTAGCCATAATAGATACAGCTTTCGGTCGGCAGAATACAATGCTAATTTAAAAGTCAAGAAATATGGTAACTGTTGGACGCCAGTGAATATATCCATTGTTCCAGAATATGTTGAAAGGTGAATATACATGATCAACACACCATCAATGCATCACTTAATCTATGCACGGTTATTGAACCTAAACATTCAGATACCACACGTTACTATTATTTAATTATTATTCCCTTGGGTTCCGAGTAGAACACAGGGCTTCAACAACACATCCTCTTCATCTGCATCCACGATTGCCTATAATCTCCTATGTCCTCTTTCTCTTCAAACGATTTCCTCCATATCACCGTCGCACCGACAACACACTCGTCGCTTCTCATTTGAATTCCTGGTCGAGCAATATTTTGCGTTGTGCGCGATGTCGTTCGACGGTCTCTTCAATGTATGCCCAATCAATCCATCTCCTTTTATGGTATGCGCGGCTAGCCTTTGGCGAATGGGTTCCAACTTCTCCGCAAGCCAACGGGCAACCATATGCTGGGGAGAGTTGATCATCGAAAGTATAGGTCTCAGAGGGACTTCTTTCTTGTGTGTATTTGGAAGGCTATACATATATGGCAAGCGGAACCCTTGGGGTTTCAATTCATTGTACGTGTTGTTGTCAATCAAATTCTTCTTTAGAAGATCTATCAATACATTTGTAATGCATTTTTTCAGTTGCATCTGTCTGGTCTTTCTGGCAGTCGTCGACTTTGAACCTCAACGGATCATTCAGCACAGTTTTCATCCTTGCGATGTAGTCATCTTTATCCATCAGTACCACTCCTGAGCCTTTGTCAGGTGGCAGTATAACGATTTTGTCATTATTTCTGAGAACTTTCAATGCTTCATGATGCTCTTCAGAGAGAACTTTTGAATATGACGTTGGTGAAATGAAGTATTGATTTGCAACGTTGACCAGCTTAGATTTGAACCAGTTCTTCTTGTCCTCATCAACTGGAAGAAGATCATTCAGCTGATAGAATAGGTTTTTGAATTGAGCTCCGACATCGGTTCTATTGACAAAGTTATTCGGGATATGGAAGTTAAACCCGAGGGAAAGCACTTTCATTTCAATGCGGCTTAAATTCAGACTCGACAGATTATACACAAACTCCTCAGGATTTTCTGGGAAGACTTCATATATTTTTTCCTTCGTTAGGGTTTTATAAAAATTTGCACATGTTTTCCGTTGAAGCCCTTGAATGAAATTGATTAATTTGATCCGGCAAACTATGTTTAAACTATTGACGATATCGTCAAAGGATCTGGCTTCAGTTCTCAATTTTGCAATCAGAGATTCTGTTGATTCATTTTCGTAATGCGTCGGACGCATTACGAAATCGCATATTGAATCAACAATCCACCTCAATTTTCTCCTACATATTTTTTGAACGATCAGCTCTTCATTGAAATGTTCTCAGAGGTTCTAGTTACTAATTCTTTCTGGGACTTTGACCTTCATTATACGAGCCAGTGAAGGGGTCAGCTGTTGATATACGTCTGTAAATTATTGGAAATCCTTTCCGTAACTGACACGCAATGCAAGTTTCTGACCCGTTGTTATGTACTAGTTTTCCCCGTCGCCAAATTGTTATGTACTCGTCGCTAAATTATTATTATGGACTGGTCGAGAAACTAATAGTCCTGACGCAAGAAGGCGGAAATCAGAAGACCACTAGGTTTGCGATGATACTTCTATTTTTCCAAACACAAGGAGAATGCAGAAGTGGTATCACACCCAAGTGGTAAGTAAGTCAAGTAGTTCACACAAATTGTGTGAGCGAAATATATATGACAAGGGTGTGAACAAATCATTAGACAGTCTTAACATGAATGGCTAATTATAATGAAGTATCAATCCATATATACATAGCGAAATATAACAGGCATGTCAACAACCACCATGTATGGATATATGTCACCAAGCAACGGACTGTCAACAAACACTCATATTATATATAATATAATATAAGGAGAATATACATTATTAAAGGAGACAAGTTCATACAAGTGAAAATGGTCACAGACTAAGGGAGCAAACAGAAAGAGAGACCAACATACACACACATAAATATATATATGTGGATACATATCACCCGTATAGAAGAACTGACTGACTTTACATATGTGTTAAAAATGCGAATCTTGTTCCTTATGCAGACTGAGTTCAGAAGATTTCCAAACTGGTTTCAGGTTGGCGTAGGCGTATCTTGCCTTTCCTATCCTGCCTAGCTAGCTAGCTAGCTAGCTGCCTTTGATACCTTCATCCGTTCCAACTGGCTGTGGTTGAAACGATTCTGACTGTCTAGATAAGTAAAGGTGATTGTTATTGTCAGACACCACACATTAGTCATCACAAATTTATACAATTATATTTATCATAATTATTATATAATAAATTATTGTAATGGCAATAATAATCACTAGGTCAAAAGGAAAAAAATATATATATAGAACTGTACAAATTAAAATACTATTGTTCAACAAAATTGATCATTGAATGCCTATTTGAAAGCGATACAAAAATTTATATACATGTTTTTTTAAATGTCATCGAAATAATATTGTATGCTCATAATGTCGTAAATAAGTAGTATATGTACACGTAACAAAATAAAATAAACACCAAAGCAAACACAACATAAATGTGTGTTTCTTCTCTTTTCTTTCGTTTTTTTTTTCTCTGAACGCAGTTCAATGTTCCAATTCATCCATCATTCATTAATTGTTTTAATCTCAAATCTTAAAGAAAATCATAGTCAATAGGATCATTTTTAAAATTTAACTGACACAATGATCTAGGATCACGTTGTTGTTGTTGGGGTTGTTGTTGATGTAGCTGCTGGTATTGATTAGACGAAAGACACTGAAGTGGATGATTCAGAGAATTATCAAAATAATCAATAACTGTACCTAAACCATCAGCTGATGATGACGGACACAGAGTAGGCATCATCATCATCACTGATGCCTTTTCCTCTTCTGTTGGCATTACAATACATCTTGAAGATGACGACACCGCCACAGCTCCTGTTGATGACGCCGACGACGATGACAACGTAACTGATGATGATGATGAAGAAGGTGGAGGATGAGAAGGCATAGAAGAATGTCCAATTAGATAACCGACTGAAAAATTTGAACATTGTTCCGTAGAATCATCTGTAATCACTTCATAATCATTAGGTAATTGGGATTGTGTTGTAGCATAACACGTGTTTGCCTCATTCAATAGATTAGGGATACTACAAATACTACTATTATTATTACTATTATTATTTAGAAGATTATAATTATCCTCAGAAGTAAGCCGATGATTCATCATATTCATTGACGGTGTATTACTCGATTGTTGATAAAATTGTCCAAAAAAGTTTGTAGAATCATTTGAATTACTATCCGACGATGAAGATGAACACGATGATACTGATGCTTCAATTAAACTTGTTATGGGATTTGATATACACAAATGATTTGAAGATGACGAGGAAGAGGATGGTGCCGGTGCTGTTGTTTGAGAAGAGAAATTCTTCAAGACATACTCATGATGATGGTGATATGCATTACCAGAAAGAATTGGTGAACTAGATAAATGATTAGGATCTGGGGAGGGGAATCTCGGCGAACAATGTTGATAATGATAAAATTCTGTATTTATATCACTATTATTATTATTACTGCTATTATTATTATTATTATTATTAATAGTAGTATTAGTAATGGTACTTGTTGAATTCCATGATAGCAGCATATTTGTATCCCCCAATAGATCTGTTGGGTTCACAGAAGTATGCTTTACCAGGCTATCACTATCGCTATCATCGGTAATAACACTCCCGCTGTTACCTTCAATACTCCGCGTGATGAATTCATCATTATGCGACAATGACTCTGGTATAACAACGGGGAATAACTGATGTATCTGATGACGACAGTTAGCGTTAGAAAAAGGAAACGATGTCTCATTAGCTGCAGTTGTACTCGTAGTAGTCGTAACAGTTGACATGGCAGTAGAACAATGTGGAACAACAGGAATCTGATAAGTATGATGACGATTTCGTGGTTGTTGTTGCTGGGGGTGGTGACGTAGGCGGCGTTCTTCGTCATCATGTTGTTTTTGCTCATGATGTTCAACAACACTTTCTAGATCAATTGAATCATCAATTGGACGCCATATTGTCGTGGCAGTTGTAGCAGTAGTAGTAGTAGATGGACAAAATGTTGAAAAATGCAGTGAAGTCGACGACACTGCAGATGATAGTCCTGACGAGGACGATTCCACCGTTGTTGTTGATGGACATGATTCATAGAATAGACAATTTTCATTAAATACAATTTGTGGAGATTTGAAATCCATTTCATGTAGATTATTAATAGAATGAACATCAGTCTGGATGGAATTTAAAATATCCATTGACGCCAAGGATTGTTTGTGTACAGTCATATCCAAAGAATGCGATGATGATGACGATGGTCTGTTTACACTGCTGATATCTTCCTCTTCTTCTTTTGCATTACTACTGTGATTAGTAGTCGTAACAGTAAGCGTACTAGTAGGATTTGAATCATTAGTATTACTATTCGTATGAATATTATTATTATTAGTGGTAGTAGTGGCGGTATTGGTCTCTTCGTCGACTTCAAATGAAATGTCACTATCAATAGGCTCCGTTGCTGTAATCAAATAGCATAGACTAGGCTCTGGATGACATGAGATAACAGTTGACCATGGATGTTGATGATGGGGATGACTGTTATTCGATGCAACAGTAACAACATCATGACCAACGACTCCACTGCCATTATTGTCAGAAGTATTACAGTCATTATTATTCAGTACAGTCGACGATTTCGACGAATAGGGTGATGTAGTTGTCAATTGAATGGGGAGTAAAAAATTCGGGTGTATTGATATAGTTCCACCGGATACTGACGCTAATGCAGGCGATAAAATCGACGACGATGATGATGATGAAGGTAAAGAACCGATTGTTCCAACTGATGTTGATGTTGATGACAAAGAAGAAGGTACTGACGGTCCATCGACAAATCCTGCAGCTTGAAGATGAGGATGATATACAGAATCGGGTACTGATATCATCATTGTATGTTGATGTGAGCCGTCATCAGCATCATTATTCTCATGAATTAAATTTGTACAAGTTGATTCATAGAATCCATGTCCACCAGCATTTAAATCAGTAAAATTTAACATGTATACAGCAGTATTATCTGGTAGATTGACTGTTTGATAAGCGGTGATATTGCTAGCTGACAAGAGTGAACATTCTGTTGTCATTGTAAGATCCTCGGCACATCCTCTTGTTGTTGTTGATGATGATGATGATGGTAAAACAGTCGCTGATGTTGTTACCACAGATAGCGCTGATGATGAAGACGAGGACGACGCTGGGGCTGAAGACGAAGACGCCACTGATTGATCTACCAATACAACATCATTATCATTGAGATCAGCTTCAGTGAGATTGATCAATTCTGAAAGGCTTGTATGATCAGGATCATGATGAGGATCGTCAAAGATATCTACCAATGTTTGATGACTTGACGAACAATTATCATTGGGGATTTGTGGCTACAAAGTGAATTATATTCAATAATCAAAAATTATTTTTATCAATATATATAAATTAAAATTAAAAATATTATACGTTATTTCCAATAACAATCAAGTAATGGTGTACAGGGATTTTGATCGATTACAGGTTTGATCAAGATCTGACATAAGTTAGGGGACCTTTGGAATACCAACAGGGAATCGAAGTTCGTAACTTTTCATCAGTACGAATCCGTTAGGCTTTCAAATCCAGGGCCTTCTCGCTTACAAGGTAAGCACGTAGACCATTCAAATACTGGGATCCTGTCCAACGACCAGTCCATGGATTCCAAGTTCTACCAACTCGCGATATATATATATATATATATATATATATATATATGTAGCTAAATTGCCAACCAAAGAGGCACTAGATACGGAATTCCGACCAGAACAAGGTGGATTCAGGAAAAGCAAATCCTGTCCTGACCAAATTGCAACTCCATGCATCATCGTCATCACAGAACAAAGCATGGAATGGCAATCAAACCTCTACCTCAACTTTATAGACTTTGAAAAGGCGCTGATTGTGAAGTAGTTTGGAAATTACTCAAGTACTACCGCGTACCCCAAATATTCATCAACCTTATTCAACAGCTGTATGACAACGGCACATGCCAAGTGATCCACAACGGAAAACTCAGCGAAGCGTTTGGAGTAAGTACAGGAGTCAGACAAGGGTGCTTATTATCACCAACGATATTCCTAATTGTGGTCGACTGGCTGGATTATGCATCAGACAGTGGGAAACGAGAAGACAGGAATATCCTGGACCGACCGACCGACGTGAAGAACCTAGAAGACGTGGATTTCGCGCGTGGATGATTCATGTTTGATGTCACACAAAATCGAAGACTTACAAGCGAAAACCAACAAACTGGTCGAAGAAGCACCCGGCGAGGACAGGACTCCAGGTGAACATAAACAAAACGAAGGTTATGAAAATAACCAACCAACAACATCAACAACAACAACAGCAGCAGCAACATCCATCGCCAATCATCATCAACGGGAGGGATTTGAAAGTGATTACTTCATTCACTTCACTTATCTAGGGAGCATTGTCTCAACTACAGGCAGTCGAAACGGACAAGGATGTCAAATAGGAAATCGAATCGGGAAAGCGAAAAACACATTCATCAAACCTGAAACCAATTTGGAAATCTTCATCACTCAGCATCAACAACAAAACTCGGATTTCCAATACAAACAACGTCAAGTCAGTCAGTTCTTCTATACGGACCAGAAACTTGGCGGGCGGGTCACAAAGAATATTTCCAACTGGGTATACTGGAGATCAGATGGCCGGGCCAGAAAGACTCACCAACAAGAAACTATGGGAACAAATAAAACAAGAACCAATCGCCAATCAACAAATATGCAGGAGAAAGTGGAGATGGATTGCTAACTCGTTCGGGAGGCCGCTGGGTCACACCTCTCGAGTAGAACCCAGAAGGGAAGCGGTGAGTGGGACGTCAGTGCAAGGGTGACATGGAGGAGATCGTGTGAATAGGAGTTGAAAGAATATGGACTAACATGGATGGATGCAGGTGAAAAGTACAGCAGAAGGAAGACAGAAGTGGCAAGTGGAGACGTGGAGTTGAAGCCCTATGTTCCACTAGGAGCCTAAGGGAGCAATAATAATAATACAATTGCCAACCAGTCTCATGGGCGAGTGACTGATATCTTACCTGACTTCGTGAACCCTACTGGTAAGAACTTTCAGTACTCCCAGGTTTTCCAAAGATCCTTTGACTCATATCCGCTCTTCATCAGGCCTGTGGCTTTCAATCAGATTAACAAATATGCCTTTAATTGGGTTTTTAAAGTCATCTTGAAGGGATAACATTCCTCCACATGGATTAACGTGTGCATATGAGTAGAAAATACGGATCCTTGACTTCAAATGCATTCAGTTTTCATTGATCAATAGTAGCGTGGCGTATGCTACTAATAAGGTTTTTCAGTAGTATGTGTTTAAAGGGAGGTTCATCGGCATACAAAAACATCAAATAACAAGGATATAGTTACAAGATTTCATCATGAGCTGACATTGGTTAGAGAATTATTGGAAAACCAATGTCAGCTAATGATGGAATCCTATAACCAGTCAACCGAATCCCTACACACCAAAACTTGAATATCGATGAGATGCTCACTGACGACTTGGCGTACTCAAGTAGGCAGTTACCTGGGTTTCTAGTGGGAAGTCATGACCAGTAGGGTGCAGATGGTCGGATGTGAGGACAAATACTCGCCACGGAAGACATTGGCTAGGGGTCGCGCTATGTTGTGAATTGGGAGAAGTTAGAATTCTCGGGCTGGCTATTGGATCGGGTCCAAGTGGCCTAATGGTATACGAGCTCGCCTTGTACATCTTACTGTTACTGGGTTCGAATCCCGGTGGGTGTGTACTTCTGAAGAGTCCCAAACTAGGCTAACGAAGCTACTATCCAGTACTCCCTGTACCGGTTTTCCAATGGTTCTCTTACTAATGTCAGCTCATGATGAAATTCTTTAACCAGTCAATCATATCCCTACAAACCAACAATTGAACAAGGAGATAGATTTGATGTCAGAGAAAGCAAATGATACAGCGTTGCGGAGATATATAGGAGAAATGTGTGAAGGGAACACTAAGAAACACAATCTGAAGTAAGGTCAGAAGTAGAACAACACGAAGGATTTGTGCAAACGGTGCGTTGAAGATAAGGTGTACATAATTTGGTTATATAACGATACCAAATTGCAAATAAACACACTTATTTACCAATTCTTTCGTCCTTTACCGAAGCAATTGGTGTCACTGTCAGGATATTCACAGAGAATATTCGACAGTATTAAACGGCTTTTAGACCACTAGAAAGTGATGCTAAAACTGCCTTTACCCGGAAAACCGTCCACAGTGTGTACAGATGCGAGTGACGACTACGATACAGGCGTATTATTTAGACAGGGTGAAGTAGTTGTCGAATGCGCCAGTAGTGTTTTAACACACACACACACAAAGCAGAAGTATTCAACGATAGAGAATGTATAGCAATAGTGTAGGCAACGGACAAATGGAGACCGTATTCACTCAGCTAACGATTCCACATCGAAACTAATCACAAGCCGCTACAGTTTCTGAGGACAGCGAGAGACCCAAGTGGGAAATTGTCGTCTGCAGGAATATGACTTCACGATCTCACACGTCCCTGACAAAAAGAAATTTTTTTTGGCAGACCTCTTATGTAGACTGGAAGACAAAGCTGAGTTACTGGAGATTGTTTACGGAGTGTATGCATTGGAACAAGACCCATTAAGACTTGCCCGCAGTCAAAAAAACCTGAATACACTCATACAGGTGATCACTAATCGAATAGGAGTGAATTAAACAACGGCGAGTAAGGAGCTCACTGAGCTACTCAAAGCATATTATAGAGACATGACATAAAATTTATGTTTACACAAGACTTTTAAACCTGTCTATAAAACGTGTTTGGAGGAGGGCGTATCCTAAAGTTTTTGGAAGCCCTAGTCGGCAATTAGGAAGTTCAAACCGCCTTTATGCATTCAAAGCAACAATTCGTCATCACATTATATCTTCCTTGGTAAACTTGTTTTTGATATTAACCAGGATAGATGTACTATTACCTCTCTTATTTGGTTAAGTGATCTTTATTGTTATCTTGACCTTCAGTATGTCGTATTAACTTGACCTAAGTTCATTTGCTCACACCTCTTAACTCTTTGTTAATCTCATATATATTCCTATGACAAGTCCGTGTGTGATCAGATTGTGGTTGTGAGACCTGGCCACTGAGAGTGGAAGACATGAAAAGACTAGCTGTCTTTGACCATAGGTGCCTGCGCTCTATTTCCCGTGTAAAGTGGCATAATAAGGTGAGCAACATTGAGGTTAGGCGTAGAGTTCTAGGTAAACTGGGGAAATCAATCGACGAAGTCGTGAAGTTACAAAGACTGAGATGGTTAGGACATGTGTTACGTATGCCAAGTCATCGCCTCCCTCGACGAGCAATGTTAGCGGATATAGGGTCAGGCTGGAAAAAGCTAGCGGCGGTCAAACAAAAACTTGGCATCAGTCAATGAAATCCACAACAGTTGGTCTAAGCCAGCCACGTAGGAAGGTGTAGACTTCCAGGCTGGGGTCCTCGGGACGGTAACAATCTATGGTTGGAAACAATTGGTGACATGGCTCAAAACCGTTCTCAGTGGCGCAGATGCATCCACTCCCTGTGACTTATGATCTCCAATGAAACTGTTTTGTTTTTCTTTATTAACCCTCCTTTGTCTCACACCTCTGCTCACTGTTTCTATTATGCTTTTCTTGTACTTTCTTCTCTTGCTTCGCGTGCTACACGGAGTGTGACGACTTGAACTTCCGCACATTTGTGCAAAGTTCTATGTCGAAAACAGACAGACAGATCAGATTGTGTTGCATAAATACACATTACACGATTCAGACAAACGAATTGTTTCAAACTATGTTATTATTATCAGTATAGTTCCCAAGGTGTGAGACAGTAAGAACTAACTTGTCAGTCGTCTCGGTGACATTGCTGCAGTTGATGTTGTCACTAATAAATTAGAATAATTTCCGTTAGACCAGTAAATTGGTATTGTTCACAGTCTACCAGAGGTTGAAACACTGTGTGTCACTCACACAACTCAGTCTGCGTCAAACGAAAGACCTGACGGCTGTCATTTAGTTACTACCTGGTGACTAATCCAAGCATTCATTAAATTAGTCTTACAGCCCGAATGATTGTGTCATTATGTCTGTGAGTGTAGCGCACTAGGTGACATGGATTTACATCTTAGAGGGGAGCTAAGTTCCTTCAATACTTCGTAGATACGCCTTGTTTACGACAAGTGTTAACAAGCATGAACCTACGTCCAAGACAAGATCTTGTGATGATTGACTCTGTAGAGAATTAAAGAAGTCCGTTCATTCAAATGGATTTCAGCTATTTCTCTTTCAACAGTCAATTTGTTTATCTGCACTGACTAGGTCAAACTACACAATAAATGGGTGTTCAAGGAACAAGAGTGTTACTGTGCACTGTGTTATGATTGTATATCTCTATACTGCCTTCGCTGGCATCGTTAAACAAATACATCCCTGAATAGCTGAGGAGATTTCATTCTCCCTTTTCTAGCAGGGGTGGCGGTGGTGTTAAGAACGACCTGGCAACTAGGTTAGGTGGGCCAGGTCTAGAGTCAGAAGGTAGTGTGACTAAAACTGAAGTCTACCACGACAGATAACCAGACAGCAATCATGAATATTATTTGTAGTTGAAGTCAACGGGAAGCGAATTCAAACTCGTTCAAGCAGGATAACTAACTGGTTACCTAACTAGAACTCCAACCATCTAACATCAATATAAAATAACTAAGTAATTATGGGATCAAAGTTTGATGATGATAATAATAATAATAAAATAGAGGAGTAAAGTAATCCACATACTGTAATTTCCACAGGAATCACCTCTCCAATAGTCTGTTCATATGCTATATCTTCATGTACTACAGAATTGAGTACACCTGGTGAATCCTCTTCATCAACAGGTATAACAACAGTGCTTCGATTATTATTATTATTATTATTATTATTATCATTGATAATACAAGTACCCGGATGTGTTGAATTTTTCCCACGTGAAGATTTTTTATGGACTGCTGATGTTGTTGACGAAACTTTTGTCCGACGATTTTTTGACGATCGTTTAGAATTCTTCGACGCTATTAATATTTCTGTCTCATTTGTCTGATTATTATTTGACGCTTTTTGTTGACGTTTATGCGTACGAGAATAATGCCGATTCAAATTTGATAAGCGAGTGAATGAAGCTGAACATATTGAACAGATATGATAGACACGTTTCTCGTGAATTTTTTTATGTCTCCAGAGGGTACCAGAAGTCTGAAAATAGATATATAAGTAGATATGTAGAAATTAAACAAAAATAAATAAATATTTTATGTTACTCAGCTTTGGTTTTGTGTAGTTTCTATCACAAACAAAAGTTACAATAAATCGGTAACCACATCTGTCTGTCTTTCTGTCTGTTTTCGACATAAAACTTTGCACCGATGTGCGGCAGTTCAAGTTGCCAAACTCCCTCCATGTACCACACAAAGTAAGAGAAGAAAGTAAAGAGAAATGCATAAAAGAGACAATAAACAGAGATGTGAGACAAAGGAATAGTAATAACGAAGAACAATATAGTTTCATTGGAAATCATAAGTCACAGGGAGTGGATGCATCTGTGCTAGTCATTGAGGACGATCACTTTGAGCCATATCACCAATTGTTTCCAGCCTTCATTGGTTTTTACCATCGCGAGAACTCCAATCAGGTAGTCTAAACCTTACTACGTGGCTTAAACTAACTGTTGTAGATTTCATTGACTGGTGAAGCCATGTTTTGGTTTGACCACCGCTAGCTCTTTTCCAGCTTGAACCTAAGTCAGCTAACATTGCCCGTCGAGGAAGGCGATGACTAGGCATACGTAACACATACCCTAGCCATCTTAGTCGATGTAGCTTCACAGCCTCGTTGATGGATTTCCCCTCCTGCTTACCTAGAACTCAATGCCTAACCTCAATATTGCTCACCTTATTATACCACTTCACACGGGAGGGAGATAGAACGCAGGCACAACCTATGATCGAAGACAAGTAATCTTTTCATGTCTTCCACTCTCAATGGCCAGATCTCACAACCACATCCTCCAACCCCGCGAGTTGTTGAATGTTTAACACGCTTACCATACCAACCCCTAAATATTCTGTATATCTTCATTCCCAGGTGGAATAGTAGTGAGTGTGTACTGCTGAACAATTCCAGAATGTTACGAAACAAGTAGTGTCCTTTGCCCTATGGTTTCCAAAGAGTCTCTAGCTGTTGATTCGTGATAACAACACATACAATGACTATCACCATGCACCAACAGGTTCATATTCATAAAAACAGCAAATATCTGCGTCTGAACTGTTATGTCTAGTATGACATAAACTCGAAGAATTACATGGTAAAAATCAATAAATTGACGAAAGATGCAGAGAAAAGAAGAAATCAAATGAACACAAAGAGGACAGAGGTGATGAAAATAACCAACCAACCAACCAACCAACAACGGTAATCATTTTACCACCACTATTCCTTTTCCAACCTGATCCTGCGTCAACAAACATTGTCCGTCGAGAGCACTGGTTGCTCTGAAAACCCAACACTTGACCTAGCCAACTCAATCGATTCACCTTCATACCCTCATCGACTAACTTTCCCCTCTTACATAACACTCAATACAGAACTTTAATATTGCTCACCTTATTATACTATTTATGATGAGAGATAAAACGCACACGCCTATGACCAATAACAGTTAACCTTTTCACTTCTTCCACTTTCAGCGGTCATATTCCAAAGAAATAAAAGAGGACGGAGAGAACTGGTGCTGTGCTGTACACACGTCATTTGAACAATAGCCAGTCGGATATTATCACATCTACGCCAAATATGGTGTAAGTCAGCCAAAAAAATGTCACACGAGTCTTATGTATCCGATCTAGGATTTTGCTAGCGACCAATCCACTGGGGCTGATGCAACTTCCCGAATAAGTGAAGTAATCAATACACTCTACCACTTCACTCCTGTGTATCTTTAAGCTGAGAGAGAGAGAGAGAGTCGATGTAGTCCAGTCCTGAAGAATCATCTTACACTTGACAGGCGCAAATCGGATGTCAAACATTCGAAGATTGTTGCTCAGCTCAAGGTGTTCAGAAGACTCTGTGTTTTGTCCACGTTGTCACCTATTTGAGAAGAGTATATCATTTGCATATTGTAAGACAACAAGATTATTTCCCTGACAGTGGGCATCCCTGACGTGAAGGGTACTACTGGTTGTAAATCACTTCAGATGACAATTCATAGATATGCACTCTGATAGAATTGATTGAACATTTCAGTCCAGTGTATGACAAACTTTTGAATTAAAATAAAAAAGGAATTTATATGCATTAATCCATTGGCAGAAGAAGTATTAAAGATAGGACTTCAGGTGAACATATACAAAACAGAGGTGATGAAGATTCCTGGGCCAACACCAACAGCAACAACAACAATAGACAACAATCAGCATTAAATGGGAAAAACCTGAAAGAAACAACCTCTTTTAGTTAACCACCCACCTGAGAAACATCGTCTCAATTACCGATGGACGGAACTGATGAAGATATCACAGCAAGGATCGGGAATCGAAGTCAAGACAAGCTTTCATTACTCTCAAGTCTGTGTGGAGGCAGATCAACAGCACTCAGCATGAAAATGAAAACCAGATACGGATGTGAAGTCAGTGCTACTTGCTATACGGATCAGAGACTTGTCGCGTCATAAATAGCATCTCAAACAAACTTCAAACCTTCATTAACAGTTGTCTTTGGTCGATACCACTCAAGATCAGATGACCGGCCAGAAAAGATCAGCAACAGGGATCTCTGGCAATGAGCCAACCAACCAGAAACCGATTGTGCAAAAAATATGCAGGAAGAAATGGAAATGGATTGGTCATACTCTGAGGAAACAAACCATCAAGTGACATCATTAGACAAGCCCTCAAGTAGAACCCGACAGAGTGGGAAGCGGCAAGTTGGTTGTCCAAGGGTAACTTCGAGGAGGTCACTTGAAGAGGAAATGAAAGCATGCGGGCAGACTTGGAGCTAGGTGAAAACTCTAGCAGAAAACCGAACGCAATGGAGACGCACGGCTGAAGCCCAATGTTCCTCTAGGAATTAAAGGAAATAATAATAACATTCCGTTATGCCGTATTCATCCATCAATATTTATCCTATACGCCAGGTAATAATACCACCTATCACAGCATATAATCAGATCAATTCCAGGGCGGAGGAAACGAAATGTGAATACACACCCTTTATCGATAATTATGAATATTATTATCATTATTAATGATTGCACATAAAGTAATTACTGCGATAAATGATCCATTCTAGTGATAACCAAACAATACGGGTAACAAACAGGAAGAATAAATAATCGAGGGAAGAAAATATATATATTGTCTTTTTTAAAGAATTATGACCGCCCTCGATGAAGACACTTTCGCAGCGCCCTCCTCCCCCCCCCCCGCTGACACTCAGCCCATCGAATCAAAACAAAAGAAGACTCTACACACTACGTCTCTCCTATAACACTGGATGAGTGAGTTATGAATGACATCATAGGGTGGGGGGGGGTGAGCAGAGACGCGTGCATTTAAACACGTTAGCGCTAGCTAGTGCAGATTAACTCTTATGAATACACACTCACAAACACACACACACCTACCTTTATCAGTAATGTCCAGTTACGAAGACACACGCAATGCATACACGCATGCCTCCCCATCCACCCACCCCACCCCCCAAGATAATCCCGTTATGATTCCCCATGAGATATTTTCATGATGAGGCATAATGGTGATGATGATGATAATAATAATTAAAGATAGTAGAATGTGTGTGCATATGTCAATCACTAAAAAATTTCATCACATTACACAGTATCGTATACTAGTTTAATGACAATCAATCATCCCTTCTATTATTATTATTATTATTATTATTATTATTATTATTATTATTATTATTATTATCAATATGACTATCATCGACACACAGAATAAAACATAAAAGCAAACGAGAATGAATGTAATTTTGTAAATGCATGTGTACGTGTGTACGTGTGTACGTGTGTGTGTGCGCGCGCGCCAGTGATCGCCTTTCAGTGACTACACAAAAAACATGCGATGATAACAATAAATATCAGTTGATTATTGAATTAGTTTTATTGAAGTTTGTTTTAAATTACAATAATAATACTAATAATAATAAAGTGATTGAAAATTGAATGATTGTTAATGATACCGAGTCATTGGCGGTCAATTCAATCTATGAAGGAGACTATTATTCTTTGTAGAATTTTATTTCAAATTTTAATCGACATTCTATAGTGTATCAGTAATAATTAGTATCAAGTTTGCCCAATGGATGGATATCAGTCAAAGAGTATTGGACAGGTGTTTCGTCCAGGTTTGGGATTTTTCATCAGTACGCAGTCGAGACTATCCAGTTACAAGGAGAGCTCAGAAACTATTCAGCCACTCAAAATCGACTAAAAAGCCACACCAATTCGTGATCTTCACGCGAAAAGCAACAACCAGTGTCATCGCGGGTGAGTGTTTGTTCTCACTCCCGACCGAATGGATCCCATTGGCCATGACTTTTCCCTAGAATTGAAGTCAACTTCGTCCAGTCAGTCGCCAGCCAGTCACTGGCGAGCATCATATTAATTCCCGAGAGTTAGTTTGCAGCAATTTGATTTGTTTCATGTTTGGCCACGGAACGACATGAGTTGTAGAGCCATTGAAAGCCAGGGAGTACTGGACAGCCAGCTGTTTCGACCTACTTTCGAACTTTTCAGTAGTACAAACTTATGACTCCACCAAAGGTCAAACCTACGACCTTGAGGTTACGAGGTGATTCCATGAACTACTATTCAATCACTGGGACGGAATCCAAACCATTGGAACTTTCAGTTCTAGTAAGAACTCGATCACTGTGGTCTGCCGCCGAATCGGGTATAAGAGCAAATACTCACCGATGACGTCGGCTGGTGGTGGTAAGATATAAAATCACGAAGTGACAGGAGGTAGAATACATGGACAGGCCATTGGATTGCATTCCAGTGACTGAATGGTAAATAGGCTCGCCATGTAACCTGAAGATCCTTGGTTCGATTGCCGATAGGGTCATGGGTGAGTATTTCTCAAGAGTCTCAAACAATGACAAAACAGCTATCCTGTACTTTCTGCTGACTTTCACTGGTTCTCTAACTGAACTCACTTCGGGGTCAAACTTAAAATCACCGAAAAACATTAATTGATACACCTTTCCCTGAAAACATCAACTGAGTATCTAATTGATATATATCCACATATATATATATATTTATGTGTGTGTGTATGTTGGTCTCTCTTTCTGTTTGCTCGCTTAGTCTGTGACCATTTCACTTCTATGAACCTGTCACCTTACCAATGTATATTCCCCTTATATTATATACAATATAATATGAGTGTTTGTTGACAGTCCGTTGCTTGGTGACATATATCCATATATGGTGGTTGTTGACATGTCTGCTATATTTCGCTATGTATATATGGATCGATACTTCATTATAATTAGCCATTCATGTTAAGACTGTCTAATGATTGTTCACACCCTTTGTCTGAACATTCATATATATATTTCGTTCTCACAATCTTGTGACTTACACTTACACACTTTGGTGTGATACCACTTATTGCTTCTCCTTGTGTTTGGAAAATAGAAGTATCATCGCAAACCTAGTGGTCTTCTGATTTCCGCCTTATTGCGTCAGGACTATTAGATTCTCGACCAGTCCATAACAATAATTTAGCGACGAGTACATAACACTAATATAACACAGAAAGCTGAGAAAAAGTCCTATCTATCATCAATTCCACCTAAGGAAACTAACTGGATAGTAAGTATCATCAAATCACAAACAAAATAAGTGTGTTTCATAGTCTGGTTTGATAGTGAAGACTAGATGGTCGGGTGGAAGGCAAAATCAACAAGCAACTAAGGCAGTTCAGTGAAATGGTCAACAAATAGTTAACAAATAAAACAAAACATGCAGAAGGAGGGGGAGATGGATTCGGCATACTCTGTGAGAAGACCATCGAATAACACCCCAGGTTTTTGAATAGGATCCAAAGGAGAAGCAAGCAACGGGTTGGACGTCACAGAGTGAAATGGAGGAGACTATGTATGCGAGAAATGAGAGCTTGTAGGCAGGCAGTCGTTAGGCCAGGCAAAAAAGATCGCACACAAAACTGAGTAGAATGATGAAGATGTGTCTCTGAATCGTCATTTCCCATTCGAGACATAAGGAACAATATAAATAATAAGGAAATTGGAGAGTACTAGTTAGTATTTTAAGCCTTCATAGAGCAAAAAGTGTGGCTCATAAATCAGGATAACTGATTTCAATGCATATATTCACAGAAAACTACAGTCTACTCATATATAAATCAGTAGGTAATCTCGTTGCAATATCACAGATTGTTTCCACCGGCCATTGGCTTTTTACTGTCTCGAGGACCCCAGGAAGTCTATATCTCTCTACGTGGATTTCATTGACGGATGGCTAGACTACCACTCCCACTTTTCCAAACTGACCCTATATCAGCTAAAATTGCCTGTCGAGGAAGACGATGGCTAGGAATGCATGCGTAGCACATGTCCTAACCATCTCAGTCGATGTAACTTCACAGCCTCGTTGATTGATTTCCCCTCTTTGCCTAGCACTCGACGCCTAACCTCGATATTACTCACCCTATTATAACACTTCACATGGGAGATAGAACGCAGGTACTTACGATCAAAGACAGACAGAAAGGCTTTTGTCTTCCACTCTCACTAGCCAGGTCTCATAGCAATAAAGCAGGACGGAGCGGACTGATGAACAGTAAACGCGTCCTTTGATCGAAAGGCGGTCAGTTCAGTCAGTCAGATGTCACGAAGAATTCACAGCACTCTGAGGCATTGAGTATCCAAGAGATTGACATAGAAGAGATCCATATGAAGAGGAAATGAAAGTTTATTGGTAGTACAGGCTGGCGGTTATCATGTATAAAATAATACAGATAAACACTCATTATTAAATAGCACAGTCAATCACAGCTTACCTTAAATCTTTGATCACATTCAGAACAGACAAAATTACGTTCAGTTGAATGTTTAAATGCAACATGATCATCTAATTCACGTTTATTAGTAAAACGTGAATCACATATCTGTAGAGTATGAAATAAACAGTAGAATGAGGCAAAAGTTAATATTGATGAAGAGAGAGTAATGTGATGAATACCGTTCACCTTATACATAAAAATGAAAGTGTAGCCGTCTCTCTCTCCCTTTCTCTCTCTCTCTCTCTGATGCCACAAAATGAAGTTAACTCTTTACAAGTATAATTCACTAGGCTTTATTATTGCCCACTGGTTCTTAGATGAACTAACCGCTTTATTTAGCCTTAATCCTGAAGATCAGATGACCAGATCGAATGGACGAGTAACAAAGGAGGTCTGCCGACCAAACCATATAAGGAAGGACCTTCAGAGGCTGTACAATCGTATTTATACTTACTAAAAACACGTGTAGTAGTCTATTATTGAGTAATACAAATGGGGATGACATAACTGATATAATTACCCAGAAGTGTCTCACAAAGTAAAAAATAAAAGTTGTAAATTACGTGGTACTCAACGATGGCACAAATTTAGAAATTTGATAAGGTTTAAATTACTACTGAGTGAGAATAAAGGTGGTAGTTGAGTGTCAATTTAACAAGTGAGAGGAGGGTGTGAAAATGGCGGGTGTACTGCTCATCAGTCCGCTCCGTCCTCCTTTATGGTTGTGAGACCTGGCCACTGAGAGTGGAAGACATGAAAAGACTAGCTGTCTTTGATCATAGGTGCCTGCGTTCTATCTCCCGTGTAAAGTGGCATAATAAGGTGAGCAACATGGAGGTTAGGCGTAGAGTTCTAGGTAAACAGGGGAAATCAATCGACGAAGTCGTGAAGCTACAAAGACTGAGATGGTTAGGACATGTGTTACGTATGCCAAGCCATCGCCTCCCTCGACGAGCAATGTTAGCGGATATAGGGTCAGGCTGGAAAAAAGCTAGCGGCGGCCAAACAAAAACATGGCTTCACCAGTCAATGAAATCCACAACAGTTGGTCTAAGCCACGTAGGAAGGTGTAGACTTCCAGGCTGGGGTCCTCGGGACGGTAACAATCTATGGTTGGAAACAATTGGTGACATGGCTCAAAATCGTTCTCAGTGGCGCAGATGCATCCACTCCCTGTGACTTATGATCTCCAATGAAACTGTTTTGTATTTCTTTATTACTCCTTTGTCTCACACCTCTGCTCACTGTTTCTATTATGCTTTTCTTGTACTTTCTTCTCTTGCTTCGCGTGCTACACGGAATGTGGCGACTTGAACTTCCGCACATTTGTGCAAAGTTTTATGTCAAAAACAGACAGACAGACAGACAGTGAAAATGTACCAGAAGAACATATGAGAGTGATAATGGTGAATTAATTATTAAGGTAAAAGCAAACTAAAAGTAAAATTAAAAAGAAAAATTAAAATGTGTGTTTACGGGGAACGACTAGTGAAGAGGTTAAGACCAGTATAGAATAAGAGAGTGGACAAACGTTTTCTGCATAAAGAGTTCGGCGTTGTATTGACAAATTGCCAGGTCCTCAGCCATACACAAAAGCTGAACCTTGACACCATTTGTAACATTTGACCTCACCATGTAAATGATCTTGAAAGACGACTCTGGTGGAGCTATGTGGCTTGAGTTCACCAAATGCTCGAGAATTGAGATAGTTACTGTCTTGCATTCTCCTTTTGCTAACTATGCCGGATAATATTCACAGATGCGTTTGGAGAGCGTGCGCTTTGTGCGGCCAATATAACTAGCTCCACAAGAGCAGATGAATTTATAAACACATACATTGAAGTGGCCCGTGCAAAACGGCAGTTTATCCTTCAAACATCTATTGATCATTTTTACATTTTCACACCCTCTTCACACTTGCTAAATTGACACTCAACTACCACCTTTATTCTCACTCCAGAGCAATTTTAACCTTATGAGATTTCCATCTTTGTTCCGTTGAGTACCACGTAATTTACAACTTTTATTTTTTTTTACATCTAAAGCCACTTCCGAGTAATTACATCAATAACAGAACCTATCAACCAACATATATTACAGCATGAAATAGAGACGAACTATACATATTGCTGAGGAGATTATTGACTGACAGTAGATGCCAATCTCTCGAGGTGTAATCCGAAAGGTAAGTGTGTGGGACAAGTTGGGCATCCGAAGGTGACACTGAGGAGATCATGTAGAGAGGAAATGAAAGCTTGTGGATATGTGTGGAAATCTAAACAAATCCCTCATTTTATATTGTCATACATAAACTCAATAGTAGGTTGAATGCAATTCACTTCCGAGTTAGAAACCGACACGCTCTAATGTTCCTTCAAGTCCTAACATGCAGTGATTAGAATAAAGGCAGTTACCGTTACAGTGTAACTTGTTTATTCTATGTTAGGGATTTATGGTTGAAGTCGTGTATCTGAGGATGCATTGGCAGTAAGGTATTGCCCTCAGACGACCAGCATACCAAATATACCGTCTCTCCACTCTGGAGAGAGCGGGTTAGAAAAGGTCGACCCCAAAAACTGTACATCCCAACTTACCCCACGGTACTCCGTAACAAGCGGTAAGTTAGTGATATGGAAACCAAATCAAAAATACAGTTCATAAAGGCCGTATGTGACAGGCTTCTGTGGTCGCGCAACACTAACCTTCTTTCCGTTTCACGTACCCGAAGAATCAATCAACTTTCATGGTGTGGAGAGCCGGGAAATAACAACCACCCACACACTTCTAAAAGCACACGAAGCCTTCCTGATCATCATCCTAAGTCAGTCAAATAATTACTATGAGGTCAATTACACATTGGTTCAACTAGTAGATCAAGGTCAGTTATATTATCAGGATATAAAAATTTAGCTAGCTAGACCTAGAATGATTGATCCTATCAAGGTAAATAGCCTAGAAAAAGCTCGACCACTGCATTGCATTCACTTGCATGTAATCACACAACAGGGAGGGACAGAATGAAAGTATTAAGGTGTAATATAGTTAGATTGAGATTTTTTTCCTTCACGTTCCCCAGTGGAACATAGGGCAGCTTCAAGCTAGTGACTTAAAGTTTCTGTAGCAGTGTTTATTTTCACAGGATGGGGTTGATAGCCAGCCTCATGCTCAACCTTAACTCTTTACCAGCATTATTACTGGTTCAGCGAGGTAAAGGAGTGTGTTGGTAGCCGGGGATCGAACCCCGGACCATGTGGATGGTCGGCGAGCGTACTAACCACTATACAACCGACGCAAGTTAGATTGAGATAAAGAGAGGTTAGACACTGAATCTTTGTTTATCGATTTAACACCGCACACATGCAGTCAAAATGACGCAACGTCTGTACTGGAGATATGGAAGCTTGCAGCAAAAACCGAGGGAAAGAGGTAGAGAAATATATTTATGTATATACATATATTTTATCACAGCTTAATTTCACACTATGTTTTTGGTACAAGTATGGAATTTTCAGGATGTGATATCGGTAGCCCAAATTTCGCAGGCCGACGATAGATATCAGGTGTGCGTCGGTAGGGGATCGAACCCTGGACCATGTACATGGTCGGTGAGAGTCTTAACCTATGTGCCACCGACGCACAGGCACACTGATACGATTATAAGCAATAAATTCTGCTCAAAACGTTATCCAGTTATAAAAACGACATATTTGAAAAAAAATCTTATCTAACGTGAAATAGCAGTTTCTTCATCTGTGACAACGAAATGTATTAGGTTTTTGTAGCATCAAAAAAAATTGTCTATCCTCTTATAGTCGAGTTTTATTATCACTAAGAAAAGTTAACTCTTCAAATTTGACTGAAATTCATTGGACTTTCAAAAGCGAGAGAGAGAGAGAGAGAGAAACACTTCTTCGTTCCTTTGAGTTTCAAGTGCAGCGCACAGCTTCGAATTGGAGTCTTGAAGTTTCAGTTAATAGTGCGAAGGTCGTTGACCCTTTACACCCAACCTTTCCTCTTTATCGAACTTACTATCAGCTATAAGGGAGATTTAGAAGTGCATCGATTGGAAATCGAACGTGGACATATCGCACGGCTGGAGAATATTCCACCACGGGAAGACCCAATGCATTCAACTATGCCCTCAATATCGTAGATAAACGCATAAAATGAGTCACTGGCTAACAAAAGCAAATGCAAAAAAAAACAACATAAAAGTAGTAATGTAAACTTACTTCACAAACAAATTGTTTAACATTGAAATGTCTTGCCAGGTGTTCTTCATAGGCTAAATGCTGTCCAGTACGAAATTCACAATAACCACAGAAATAACGATATTCCCGACGATGTATTATACTTTCATGACGTTTCAAGTTAAATGATTTTGCAAAAGTGATATCACATTCTGGACAATAATGACGTGTTTTTAAAGATAAATTTTCACCTGATATCATTTGGTCAATTTCATTGTTATCAGTTGTTAAGTCTTGTGAAAACTATTAAAAAAAAAAATAGAAATAAAAACAGCAAAGACAGATGAGTTAGTTTGTAAGGTATTCCTTTTTTTTCTTCAAGAATTGCGCTAAAATCACGAATTGATGTAGAAGTTAGAATGCAGACAGTTCTCACCACAGTGTTGCTAGTATAATTGATAACGTTTCAGCTTTTGAAATGATCAGTTGCCTGGTTGAAATCTTGATCCTAATTCACTTGGCAGCATTGAATTAGTTGTGTTCTCTTTGAACGGATTAATTTGATCGTGAAGCTTTTGTCATCCACTCCCTAGACAACATGACTTCAGTGCAGGTTTTTATTTATTATAAATTGAACTCATTATTTAAATTACCCGTGAATAGATGTAATTGTATCTCCTGGGCAACAAATGTTGTGACTGGTTGTTAACTTACATCTCTATTGATCATATTTTTATTCATTTGGAATACGAACTTTCAGCCAAAAGTATTAAAACCGTTTTAAAGTAGAGATACAGCACACAAACCAGTCAACACAGTCACTTCATTCGATATGATGCCAATCCAAAAGGTTCAACATAAAAATAAGATGAAATTAATTCCATTTACAAAATAAACTGTAATTAACACAATACATCGGTCAAAGTAGGCGTCCCCTTTGAATTTGAATCCAAGAACACGAATTGGCTTTGAAAAGACATGATATCTATTCTTTCGTGTCAATGCATGTGAATAATTATTGACATCAATTTGACAGTTGAGAAGATGTAGAAATTTTAAACACCAAAAGTAATACCAGGGACTTCCTACAAGTGCGTCGGTGGCACAGTGGTTAGGACTCTCACCGACCACCATGCACATGGTCCAGGGTTCGATCCCCTGCCGACACATACCTGATATCTATGGTGTCGGCCTGCAAAATTTGGGCTACCGATATCACATCCTGAAAATTCCATACTTGTACCGAAAATACGATATGGAATCAAGCTGCAATCGAAAAAAAAAGTTAGAATTCATTGGTTAGTCATTGGATCGTGTCCCAGTGACTGAATGATCTACGAGTTCGAATTGGGTTCGAGCCCCAGTTAGTTAGTACGCACTACCGATGAGTTCTAAACGAAGATGAAACACCTGTCCAATACTCCCTGCTAGTTTTCCGATGGTTCCTCTAACTAACTGATATCAACTCATCGTCAAACCGTTAATTAATCAAATCCATGCAAACTAAAAGGTGATACGTACGGATAAAGCTTGATTTACAAGAAGACAGATCATTCAACAGGGAACACAGCTAAGTAAAAGATCAACATTCTAGTCTATTTTATTGAGAAGAGATTCCCAGTGAACATCTAAGAAATTTGTATTAAATTCACTTTCATATGCAACACTACAAAATAGGTTGTCAAGATCGGTGTCTAATGTTGTAGTAAAAAAAAAACAACTATAAAATTACTGAATAGTTGTTTTGTCCTAGTTTCGGACTCTTCATCAGTTTGTACTCATGACTACATTGGATGTCGAATCCAGGACCTTCTGGTTACAAGACGGGCCCTTTGACCAATCAGACTAATGAGACTAAATCCAATGACCCAGTAGCTAGCTTATTAATACCTCAATACAAGATGGGGATGGCTACAGTTGTAGTGAGAAATCGTGACCAAAGGTGTCCCATCAAGCCCGATAAAGTTCAATGGGTGTTAATGTTATTTCGACAAGGTGAGATTGCTACTCTACTACATCATGACTTCCTTCAGTATAGGATGTTTACGATTGTGCTGGTGGGGAGTCGAACCCGGACTATTTGTATAGCTAATGGGCGTTCTCGCATATAACCACTGATGCAAGATTGAATTCTCACTCATTGATTGAATGAGTTCGTCTCGTAACCTTATAATCAAGAATTTGACCTCTGGTTTGGAGTCATGAATGCGTAAAATGTCGAAGACTGCGAAACTAAGTCGAAATAGATATGTCCCATATTCCCTCCTCCCTGGTTTACAGTGATTCTCCATCTCTTATCGGTTCGTAATGAGATCTACCACGATAACCAAGAGAACAACCATAGGAAAATTAGAAACTCAAGTTTACAGAAAATTAACTCGCACAGACCAAATACTGAATTACAGCAGCAACAATCGAATAACCCACAAAAGAAATTGTATACGAAGACTATTCAAGACAGCCAGGAATCATTGCAGCACTCCCACCTTAAGGAAAATTGAAAAAAAAATTACTCATCATCAAAAGGCATCTACCCCAAAGCCAATCTACCAAATCAAAGGCCCCGAAGGAAAGCACAAAGGAAATCACCCCACCATATATAAAACACATCTCAGAAATCACTGCAATACCCTTCAAACTTTTAGGAATTGATGTAGCACATAAACTAACAAAATCACTTCAGCCAACCAGCCAGCTCAACCAAAAGACTCAACAACGAAAGAAGATAAAACCAACATCATCTACAAAATAAATTGTAACAACTGAGAAAAATACTACGTTGGCCCTTCATCTTCGTATCCACGAAAATAGGCTAACCCCGTCAAAAGACATGATATCTACTCCCTCATATCACTACATACAGACAACCACGGACATCAGTTCGACTGGGACAACGTTCAAATATTAGACAGAGAAGAAACACCAAGAATGCCAGAAGCCTGATATTCCCGTGAATCGTCGATCAACAGACACACTGACGTAGATAAAATTTACCACTTGATAAGAAGGAAATCTTGCACGCAAAGGATCAAACTGTAGTACCAATATACAAGGAGCCTACAGGGTGCAAGGTAAACAAAAACAACCAATCACGTTCAAGGTCACCGGGAGAGATGACTAATAAACTCGTGGAGAAATCGAAAAGCTCGCCCCAGCAAATTGAAGTGTATGCGCTGAAGATGTCGCCTAGTAGGATGAAGGAGGTAGTGAAAGCTTCACAAATAAACCACTCAACAGGTCAAAGAACACAACTACATCAAAAACAACACTGGACTGTCTGTAGATACTGACATGACATAACAGTTTTATAATATAACAATAGAAGAAATGTATTACATAAACAAGATAAAATATCCTTACCAAATCTTTAGATCTGCTATTACGACCATTTTGATTGGTGATATCGTTCATTGATTTCTTTGTACGTCGACAGCTTCGAACTGTAGTAGTAGCAGTAGTACAAGCTGTAGAATCAGTACTATCAATATTATTGTTCCCAGTAACCACTTTACGTTTCCTATTTCTTGTATTCAAATATATGGAATTCAGTTCTGATACATTCAGCATATTGGATGATGATGACGATGACGCAAGAGTAGTATGACCAGTGACAACAGCCTCTATGGGAGTAGTAGTACTCATATTCACATTATCTTGTGTTGATAATTGATTAGACTCGCTTTTATTGTCAGTAGTGTTAGTATTATTATTAGTGGTAGTAGCAGAAGTACGTTCGCTTTTATCATTATTCTTATCATTAATATTCTCCTGGGAAGATTGATTCCATTCACAATTGATCACAGTTTCATTTGGTCTTGGAGATAGCCCACCTAAACTTTCTGGTATATGACCATGTTGAAATAAATAATGCACCTAAAAGAAGAACCAAAGGGGAAGAAATCGGTAGATTAACACCTGTTACAACCAAGTGAATTGTTTTGCCTAAACAAAGCTGACTTCAATTAGTTTTATTCTGTGAGCTGGTTGGTTTAGCTGTGGCTGAGCTTTCGCTATCTCTTCTTCTAGACAACATCCCCCTTTAGCCACCGGAGGTTTTAGCAAAAAAATGAACTGATTTACATTCTTCATTAGTGATGATAGAATTGCATCGCCTGGTTGCGACCATCTTCATGACAAAGCTGTCCATTGAAGAATTTTTTTGGAGAACTCAGTTATGCCTCACATCTACTATCTTTAAATTCTGAGGTAAAATATATAGACAAACAGAAGGTGTAGCGATGGGATGGATCACCAATATCCCCTATCGTAGCGGATATATTTATGGATAGCTGGGAAAATATTACTCTTAATACAACATTTAATCCTACTCCAAAGATAATATGGTGGAGATATATGGGTGACACTTTCACACACACAGTGTTAAAAACAGAACATATCTCTCTATAGCTTCTTGACACATATAAACTCCACTAGTGGAGGGAATAAAATTCACATTTGAATCGGAAAATGAACAAGGAGAATTAGCTATCTTAGATTGTAAAATAAAACGAATAGAAAGTAAACACGCACACACACACTAGCGTTTATAAAAAACTAATGCATTCCGCTAATAGATATTCAGACCTCTTTAATTCATCTCATCCGTCGTTGTCTGTAAAGGCAGGAGGCTTGGTAAAGTGTCTAACAAACCGAACAGTAGCACTAAGTAGCACAAGAAGAGATCTAAACGATGACATGAAACAGATAAAAGAGGCGTTGGTATCAAATAACTATCCTATAAAATTCATTAGGAAGATTGAAGAGGGCCATAAGAAAAAGAAAAATAATGGTGAAACTGATAATGATAGCATAAAAAAGAAAGAATACAAGGCATCCGCAGTAGTTTGACAATATAAAGAAAGGAACATCTGAGACGCTACGTAAGATTCCTAATAAATCAGGAATTAGGGTGGGATTCAAACCTACTAACCCACTCAGATAGGACAAGTTCTGTAAGCTAAACAATCAGGTGGACCAAATTAAACAAAATAATATAATTTACAAAATACCTTGCAATGACTGTGAGGTCAACCATATGCGTCAAACTAGTAGATCGGAGGCAGTCAGATTGTCGAAACATAAGAAGTTAGCTAAGGTAAGAATGGTTGACTCCAAGAAGATGAGTAATTTAGAAAAAACCTCAGCAATTGCACTACATGCATCTATGTAGGTGGAGAGAGAGGTTGATTACTGAATCCTGGTTCATCCAGTCTACACCCAACACAACACATGCAACAGAAATGACTCAATGCAAATACCAGAAATATGGAAGATATTATTACCGCCAGTTAGTCAGATTAGAGGAGGATAATAAATAATCTTAAAATTCTATTTCAACTCAATCACATCACAACATTCTAACAAGTTACTTATTATGACTAAAAAAGACACTCGTCATATTTCCCGTCTGACTGTACTGGATTGATAACACTTATATTATTATTTCCGAATGTACATTATCTTATTTTGAATTCTATTCAAAAATCTAATTGATTCTACACATGTATATAAATGAAGGAAAAAAGTTATGTGAGTAGTGACTTGATATGATTATGAGTGGCAATAGTTTGTGCTCGAAACTTCATCAGTTAATAGTACTGTATAGCACCACCGTGTGATTGATCAAAATAAAATCTTATCCATAATGGAGAAGACTGAGGCAATGAAGCTGACGAACCAACAAACAACAACAAGCGCCAATCACTATCAACGGGAGTAATTCAAAAGTGGTTACTTCCTTCAGTTATCTGGTAATGTAGCATTGTTTCAACCATAGGCGACAGCACTGATGAGGATGTCAAAACCAACCGGAATCGGGAAGGCATGATGAACCTTTAACTCTCTGAAATCAGTTTTGCTAATCTTCTGCACTCAGCATAAACAACAAGATTAGGATTTACAACAGTAATGTTAATTCAGTCAGTTCTTCTACTATCTGTTTCAGGAACTTAACATGTCATGTAAATCATTTCCAACAGCAGTCAGCTGCATACTTTTATCAGCATCTGACATCGCCAGCTCCATAATGAAGATCAAATGACCAGATAGCAGGAATTACGAACAAGAAACTTTGGGTGGCAACGAACCAACCAACCAAGAACCTGCTACTCAAAAAATATGCTGAAGAAAGTGAAGATGGATTGGGCACACGTTGAGGAGACCGTCGAATGACATCGTGTGCCAGGGTGAAGCTCGAGTGGAACTCGAATGGGAAACAAAGAGTTTGTTGTGGGTCATAGAGGAGGTTGTGCAAGGAGGCGATCAGAGAATATGGGCAATGGCGGGACCGGATGAAGAGTACCATAGAGAATACGACAAAGCGGTAAGGCAGCAACAATAATAATCAACAAATATTTGGGCCAATCAGTACCCAATTACACATCTCAGTTAATTGGATGGAGGATTTCATCACAGCTTAACATCAGTAGGAGAACCATTGGAAAAACTGAAAGTATTGGACAGTTGTTTCGTCAATCTAGTTTGGGGCTCTTCAGCAGCACGCACCCACCACCACACTTAGAACCCAGGACCTTCTGGTTACAAGACGAGCTAACTCGTAGAGCATTCAGCTCACTAGCGACTGGCCCTATTCAGGCAGCGACCTGGGATTCTAGTGGGAAGCCGTCACCAGTGAGGTACATCACGTTGAAGATGAGGCAGTAAATTATCAAAGACGACATTGCGAAATAGTCGCGCTATGTCGTGAATCGGCAGAAGTTAGAATTCATAGGCTGGCTATTGGATCGGGTCCCAGTGGCTTAATGGTCCACGAGCTAAGCGGCTTTGAAACCAGAAGGTCCTGGGTTCGAACCCCATCGGTGGGTGCGTACTGATGAAGAGTCCCAAACTTGGGGGGACGAAACAGCTGTCCAGTACTCCCAGGTTTTCCAATGTTTCTCTAACCGATGTCAGCAGCTCATGATGAAGAAATCCTCCATTCAATCAAACTAAATCCCCACAAAACCAATACTTGTAAACATTTCAGTTAACCAGTAGTAGTATGTTTATTTATATCAAAGGTAAGTATTAAAACATAAAGTGAAAAATATAACTCACTCGTAATCTAGATGACAATCGAAATACAGCTGAACAACAATGACATATAAATCGTTTAATTTTCATTGGATTCACTCTATAATTATCGGTGAACGAGGTTGTAGGCATCCTCGTTTTCTGGAAATCAGCATAAGATTTACGCTTAAATTGTAGTCTTAAACGTCTACTAGTGTTATTCGAATTATTATTAGTAGAAGTAGTGGTTGTTCGACCACCATTCTGACGTAACAACCAATAATTCCTTCGAATGTTATTCATAGTTTCTATATTATATTCTGATGTATTACTGCTGCCAATCGACGGAGAAGGAGAAGTAGATAAAGACGGAGAACAAGAGGGAATTTCACAGGAGAACGTCGATATTTTTGTATTAGCATCATTGTTTGGACTACAAGCAGATGAAACAACTTCTCGTTGTTGACGTGAACGCTATAAAGAAAAATGAATTAATTAATAATAGTCATACAATGTAAATGAATTTGGGGAAAAATTATACTACTACTAACAACAATAATAAGTAGCTTGACATTTAAAGGTAAAAATCTATCTCTGGTTCATTGGTTACATCATTAGCACGCATCAATATAATCATCGTGAGAAAGCATTCATTTGTGGCTTTAGTATTTTTTTGCCCAGAATAACCCTTTATTAATTTCAAATCGTTTAAGTTTAAGAAAAAATCAGACTAAGGTAACTGGATTGAGTCCCAGTGGTGCAATGGTCTGCGAGCTCGCCTTGTAAAACCAAAAAGTTCTGAGTTCGAAACCCGGTGGGTGTGTACTGATGAACAGTTCCAAACCAAGACGAAATAACTGTCCAGTAGTTCAGTAGTGATATCAACTTGTGACCAAAAGTATAATCAGTAAAATTCCTGCAGACCAACACTTAATCATCATTATCTATGGTATTATCGTTAGCCAGCAGCTTGCCTTGTAACCAGAAGGCCTTGGGTTCGAACCCCTTTGGTGGGTGCGCACTGCCCATGATTCCCAAACTCGGACTAATAATAATTATTATTATCATTTACTTTATTCCAAAAACAGTACTTGTGATGCAGAATGGAATTTTCAGCATTAATCACAATATTGCATCTAATTTCCTCAAATTATAAATAAAAATTAATCACACAGAAAATTTTCCACATTTACAATAGAGGTAGTGTCAAAAACATGCAGCATATAAAATGGAAATAATAATAATAACAGCTAAGGTAATAATAATAATACAAGTAAAAATTACTGTGGGCTTGTTTCACACAGTATTGGCAATGTGGTATAGAAATCCTAACATGTTTAAAAATATTGAATATAATGTTCTCTTTACATGATCTGGTGAGGTGAGTGATATGTATCCACATATATATATATATATATATATTATGTGTGTGTATGTTGGTCTATCTTTCTGTTTGCTCGCTTAGTCTGTGACCATTTCACTTGTATGAACCTGTCTCCTTTAACAATGTATATTCCCCTTATATTATATATAATATGAGTGTTTGTTGACAGTCCGTTGCTTGGTGACATATATCCATATATGGTGGTTGTTGACATGTCTGCTATATTTCGCTATGTATACATGGATCGATACTTCATTATAATTAGTCATTCATGTTAAGACTGTCTAATGATTTGTTCACACACTTTGTCTGGAACATTCATATATATTTCGCATTCACAATATTGTGTGACTTACACTTACTTACTTATTTTGGTGTGATACCACTTTTGCATTCTCCTTGTGTTTGGAAATAGAAGTATCATCGCAAACCTAGTGGTCTTCTGATTTCCGCCTTCTTGTGTCAGGACTATTAAATTCTCGGCCAGTCCATAACAATAATTTAGAGACGAGTACATAACAATTTGGCGACGGGGAAAACTACTATTAACCACTCAGCAGCAGCAACATGACAGGGAGAAATCCTAACATGTTTAAAAATATTGAATACAATGTTCTTTTTACATAATATGATGAGGGGAAAAACAAGATTACAGCAGTCATAGAGATAAGTTGGTGTTTGCAATTATGAGAGTAAAACAAAGAAGTAACAGGACCATAAATATAATAGAAATAATAAAAGTAAAACTTGAAGGTATATAAGGATGGATGGATGGAGGAAATTGTTTATTTACTAGATGAAAAAAGGTTAGTTGGTTCTTGCCTGACCCTATTTTCATCACATAAAATACGTTCCAAGTATGGTATCATAGACTTCTTATACTTAGACGTGCGAGCATACAGTTTTCTGAAGTTACTCCTTGTTCTACCTGAGGAGATGCAAGGTGAAAGCTGGGCGTAAATAAAGTGGATTCTCCAAGTCAGACAAAATCCCTTTAGCAAATTTATTGCACGAAGTCAAGTGCCTATCGACAACGATGTTAACTATGTGGTCCACTAGCACACCACTCACCCTACTGACAGTCTTCAGCATTCTACGAATCGTGACATGGTCGCTTTTAAGCAAACCAGGAAAGAATAAGGGTGAACAATAAAGAAGAATAGGTAGGATGCAAGAGTTTATGAACTGTAAGAGTAGGGATTGCATTATAACCGAGTGCCTTAACTTCTTAATGTAAAATGTCAGGCGGAATATTTTACTGGAGATCGCCAAGACATGGGAAGTCCAGGAGACATCAGAAGATAGAATAAGTCCAAGATACTTAATTTCTGATGTAACTGCTATATCATTGTCGTCAATCTTACAACTGTCATGAGAATCGATGACTTCTTTTAACTGTCTTTTACATCTTAAGCTGAAATCAACAGTTTGACACTTCGAAGGATTCAGTTTAAGACCGTTAGACTCAGACCATTTGCTGACTGCTGAGAGAAAGCTATTTATTTTGGTACAATCTAGCTGGGAGTTAACAGCCATTGAAACTGTTAAGTCATCAGCGTACTTCACAAAGTTTCTTTCATCAGAGTGAGGCAAGTCATGCAAGAAGAAAGAAAAAAGAAAAGGAGAAAGGACAGCGCCTTGAGGAACATCAGCTTCAGTAGGCAATGAAGTGGAAGACTTCCCTTTATGCACAGTGTACCGCTTTCTTTCTGAGAAATAGGAATGTAACCAGTTAACAGCCCAACATTCTGTTTGACTAGCAGCAAGTTTATTTAATAAGATGTCCCTAGGGACCGAGTCAAAAGCAGATGTATATATAGTCTAGGAAGGCACAACGAACAAATTTAGCCCCCTTGTCTAGACTGGAAGTAATGTTATGATATAAGACGGCAGCTGCATCTAAAGTGCTTCTACTGTGCTTATAGGCAAATTGTTTAGGGTCATTAAAGGATTTAAGCGAAGGTACAAGACTAAGTAAAAGTAATTTCTTCATAGTTTTCAAACTAGAGAAACGGCTGTCGAGTACTCCAGTGCTGGTAGTTTTCAATTGGTTCTCTAACTGACATCAATCCGTGATCAACTCGTCAAAAGAAAACTAATCCTTACAAACCGAACCATAGAAGAGAATATTCTTTACTTAACTAAACTTAGTGTCTTTTAGAATTATTTTTGAAACAAAACAAAAACAACTTCAGCTTACTTTATTTTTTAATGTTAAATTACGTTTAGCACGTTGAGCAGCCAGTAAACTTGTTAAAAATGTCGAGGGACAATAATTCGGTGATTTTTCAATATCCTCATGACTATCGATTGTCGGTGAGATGATTGGCTCCACGGTATCAGTGTCAACAAGATTTGTATCAGTAGCCGTAGTAGTAGTAGTAGTAGTCGCATCAGTATTACTCCTCCTCATATTAGTAGTATTGATATCGTCAGATGCATCGGCACTATCATTACTACATGTCATTTTGATGGATACCGTTAAAGATGCTTCAGACGGGTGAGCAACATCTGCACGTCTATTTGCCTTTGAGAGTAGAACATCAGCAGCAGCAGAAGTATTCGCCTTCATGAAACGATTTCGTAGACTTGATTTTCTACGACGATTTGCACGTTGTTTTTCTCTGTCTTTTTGATGTTTTAACATATAAAAACGTTCAGTTAAACTGCGCACTACACTACGTACTGCAGCATCTGAACAAGGATGAATATTTGATGATACTTTAGGCTAAAAGAAAGCAAGAAAGAAAGAGAGGAAAGCAAGGAGGAAATTAATTGAAATCAACGGATTGTGTTTCTTATGGAACATACAGAGCTTCAAGCTTGAGATTTGACATTCCAGTATTAGTGATGTTTATCTTTTTTACAGTGGGATTGCCCCCCGCCCAACCAACCTTCCTTCTCTACCACCGGGCTTACTAGAGGCTACACGAGGTTTAAGAGTACACAGTGTGGTGAGAGCTGGGTGTTAGCCAAAATCGGTGGACAGTAATTTACATCAATGTCTATGTCTCCAATATTGGTCGTGAGCAATATGAGAACAAAGACTTTGCGTAGGCGGATACAGTTAGCATATAGATGATTTTGATGTGGTTTTGTTCTCTGAGCTGGATAGTTAGTTTGCGAAGCTTTCATCACCTTACTGGGTGACATCTTCAGCGCATACTTCAAATTGAAGTGAGCTTTTAGGTTTCTCCACGAGTTTATTAATCATTCCTCCTGGTGACCTTGGACGTGATTGGTTGTTTATGTATGTTTTCACACCTTCTAGGTTACTTGTGTTGGAACTGATTGTTTCTGTGACTTGAACTTTGGCCAATCGTGTGTGAAGTTTCTTTCTTATTGGTTGATAAATTTTGTCTATCTCGATGTGTCTATTGATTGATGATTCACTGGAATGCCAAGCTTCTAAAAATTCTCTAGCATTCTTGTTATTTCCTTTGTCTAATATTTGAACGTTGTCCCAGTCGAATTGATGTCCGTAGTTGTCTGTGTGTAGTGAAATGAGGGAGTGGATATCATGTCTTTTGACGGCTAGCTTATGTTCGTGGATACGAAGACGAAGGGGACGTCCACTTTGGCCGATGTAGTGTTTTTCGCAGTTGTTACAGTTTATTTTGTAGATGATGTTGGTTTTGTCTTCTTTCGCTGTTGAGTCTTTTGGTTGACATAGAATTGAGTGCAGGGACTTTGTTGGTTTGTGTACGACGTCAATTCCTAAAGGTTTGAAGAGTCTTTTAGTGATTTCTGAGACAAGAGACATATACCCCCAAGCCAACCTACCAAAACAAAAGCCACCAAGGAAAACACAAAGAAAATCGCCTTACCATATATAAAGGATATCTCAGAAATCACTAAAAGACTCTTCAAACCTTTAGGAATTGACGTCGTACACAAACCAACAAAGTCCCTGCACTCAATTCTATGTCAACCAAAAGACTCAACAGCGAAAGAAGACAAAACCAACATCATCTACAAAATAAACTGTAACAACTGCGAAAAACACTACATCGGCCAAAGTGGACGTCCCCTTCGTCTTCGTATCCACGAACATAAGCTAGCCGTCAAAAGACATGATATCCACTCCCTCATTTCACTACACACAGACAACTACGGACATCAATTCGACTGGGACAACGTTCAAATATTAGACAAAGGAAATAACAAGAATGCTAGAGAATTTTTAGAAGCTTGGCATTCCAGTGAATCATCAATCAATAGACACATCGAGATAGACAAAATTTATCAACCAATAAGAAAGAAACTTCACACACGATTGGCCAAAGTTCAAGTCACAGAAACAATCAGTTCCAACACAAGTAACCTAGAAGGTGTGAAAACATACATAAACAACCAATCACGTCCAAGGTCACCAGGAGGAATGATTAATAAACTCGTGGAGAAACCTAAAAGCTCACTTCAATTTGAAGTATGCGCTGAAGATGTCACCCAGTAAGGTGATGAAAGCTTCGCAAACTAACTATCCAGCTCAGAGAACAAAACCACATCAAAATTATCCACCTGAGCTACAAATCTTCTCTAGCATATAGATGGTCTGACATTCAAGAAACAGTCACAAAGAGATGCAAGGTTAACTTTCTGTGAGAAACAACCATTCAGAGGACTGTGTTTGTTTTCTTAAATAATCTATAATAATGTACATGAAAATCTATAAATATGTGCTGATTTCCTTAATAAACGATCTGTTATCTGGCCGTTGTCTTCTGCTGTTAAACTGCTACCACCTTAACAACGATTTCGGAAATGCCTTCGTCAAAAGTGGAGACCATGAAGTAATTCGGGAACTGCTTCAACACAACACTACGGAGTATACTGTCACAAACCTTTAGAAAACTCATTCAGCGGCCATATGATGATGATAATGATGACGACGATGCTACATTCAAAGTCATACATAATAGAAAGCCCAGTGAAACCTCCGAAGTGAAGAGAAGAGTAATACTGACTAGATTGGCTACGATTACTGATGATATTCATGACTGTCATGGACTGGTGCATACAACAGACCGTTGACATTGAGACCGGCATACATCGGACCGACGAGAAGTTACTGAAAGCTCAGGATTTAGAGGATGATTCATGTCAAATGTCACAAACACACACACACACACTCGGACACCTTCAGGGAAAATCTAACCAGTTATCAGACGCAGAAGCAAGGAAAGGAATTCAAGAGAACATACAGAAGATAGAGATGATGAAAATAACCAAACAACCAACAAACCAACAACAAAAATCAACCACTATCACGGGGAAAAAGTCGAAGGAATACGCTTCTTCCACTTATCTCGGTACAAGTATTTCAACGACAGGCGCGTCATAGATGAGGATTTCAAAGCCAGCATCAGAAAAGCAAGACAGATCTTCATTAATCTAAAATCAGACTGGAAATCTGTCTGTTTTCGACATAGAACTTTGCACATATATGCGGCAGTCGTTCAAGTCGTCACACTCCCTTCATGCAGCACACAAAGCAAGAGAAGAAAGTAGAAGAAATGCATAATAGAGACAGTAAACAGAGGTGTGAGACAATGGAATAGTAGTAACGAAGAATA